TTTTTTTTTTTTTTTTTGGGGGGGGGGGGGGGGGGATAAGGTTTACCTGACACATTTTGTTTTGAACTGAAACCCCAGGTAAAGTTAGAAAGTATATTAAAAGTTACTTGTAATATAGGCCCAATCTTGGAGTTGTGGCATAGGGAAAGCTCTTGATAAAGTTGATGGAAATTTTTCCTGACTGAGTGCCAACCTTTTAATTGTGACAGGAGTGTCACAAATAGTGTTATACAAAGCGAAAGACCTGAAGTGAGCAGAGGTGAACACCTGATGCACTGTATATAGCAACCACTACACAATATGTGAAAACTTCATGGGGGTCATTGACACCTGTATTCATACCTGTCTGCATGGATAACCATGTTCCAGACAAGGAGCTAGATAGCTGTGAAGTGTTGCTGATGCCTTTGATCTACACACTGGCAATGGGTTATTTGGCATCGAGTGATTAGGAAATGCAGAGGTTCTGGTATCGGTGTACAGAGCTCAGCAGTCTCCAGCAGCATTTTAGGGGGACATTCTGCAAAGTGTTTAGAGCTCCCTGTGGAAGGTCGTGCATACTCAGATCCCAATGCAGATGGGTTGAGATGAGGGGCACGTACTTCCTAACATCTAATCAGCAGCTTGCACTGTCAGTATCAGTACATACTCCTTCCAGGATCAAGCCCACAGCACAGAACTGCTAAATAAAGATCCAAACATGAAATATTCCACTGATTTCAATGGCATAGGACACATAATCTAGGCCTCATTTGTATCAATAGAAAGACTTTAATAATAGTTGGATCATAAGAACCAGCCTCCAAGACCTGATCTGAAACCCATGGTGTTGAAGGCCGGTAACACCATTGAGCCACAGTCTGATCAAAACCCAGCTGAAGTAAATAAGAGCCTTTTTTGTTACTTCAATGAGCCACTTGGAACAGGCCACTAGTACTTGTATAGTAACTGAAAAAACAACTTTTATTATAAACAAGGTTTACAGGATACTAATAGCAGATTTGTAGGTCTTTGCTGCACTGAGGGCACTGACAGACATGACAGTTTGTCATGCAACAGGCCACTGAAAGCACTCTACCGCTGTGCACTGACAGAAGAGCACAGCTACAGAATGCTTTAAAAATACCTGATTGCATGACAGTCTCAGCCCTCGTTGTATGAGGGTTCAGATGAAGGTGCTCCAAAATGGAGTGCCTTCATTAACATCTACCAGCGTGGCTGGGAGTAGGGCTGGGTTGACAGCCCAGATCTGCTCCGCGCACTGTCTTCAGGATGGAAGGGGGGGAAAGGAGGGGAGTGAGTTTGGTCTGTGGATTCCCCAGCCAGCACTGTAGGGTGGGGGGCAGGTAGATTGGAGGCCCCCCAGGGTGGAGGGTTCCCATTCCCCTTCCCCCCCCCCCCCC